CTGAGCTCATGTCACAAATCAGGCATGATTTTCAGCAGATATTTCTTTAAAAGTTTGAAGGCCTCTGTGGACTCGATTCCCTTCTCAATGGGAACAAGCATCAAAGAGACAGGAATAAGATGCTTTGCACGCACATCAGGAACTAATTGCCAATTTGGCAAATGCATTGACTAATGTCATGCACTGTTATTTCTAAATCCTCTCCTGTCCTTGACCCCAGTATCTAGATGTAAACTTGGAACCATTAGTGGAGAAGGATAAAGTCTTCTGGTGCCTCAAATGGAATTGAGAGGGATTTAAACTCAGCGCTTTTGAGTGTGGTGAAATGAACCCAGCAGTACATTAATGCTAGGATTTGAGCTCACACAGCATGAGCGCTTTCAAAAACCATGTTTAAGGAAGCAAACAGAGCCACGACAGACCCTTTCAGTGGAGCAAAAGGAGTTGGATGAAACAATCAATGACACATTAAAAACCGCAACTGGGCTGCAATCATGTGGGCAGGAAAAAAAGTTTATCTTTATCACAGGATCTTTACATCTATCTAATGAGATGGTGACTGGACAACCTCCAGAGAAGTAAGGCCTCTGTTTACTTTAGCAAAGAAATGTCTAAATATTTAGTTGATTCTCTTAAAAGCTTTACATGATTCTGTAGCAAACTCATCTCTAAGGTATGATCTTATTAGCTGTAGATTGCCATTTGAAATCTATTTAAAGAGAATTTGGAAAAGAAAAGCCAGAAGATAATTACCATTAAAAGCACAAATGTTAACTTGTTTTATTTTTCTCTCAAAATTAATTATTTTTAATGTCCTCCAAATACTCAGTTTAAAACCAGCACCTTGCCAGTTAATAATACCTTCTCTTACTTGATTCTAAATTGTTCTCTATTGCTTATATATGATTTACTCCTATTGGTTCCAGTTGGACCCAAAGTGCTTGAGGCCCAAAAGGAGACTGCTGAGTATATATATGTTCTTGGGGGCTGGAGGGGAAGCTAAGAGGACAAGGGAACTTTATAAAAATGTGTATAGGGGTTCACCCTTTAAATGCACACTACTGTCTTGTATTAGCAGATTTTAGCCAAGACCGATATCCAGTTTGCTCTAAGCTTCTGTGATCCTCTGTGCCACAAACCCAGCGCATCGTAGATATGGCATCAATCGAGGCCTTCCACTTTTTTAGATTTTTTGATAGGAAAATCCCCTGCAACATGCTGTCCTTTATTATCGCTTCCTGAGGACTCTTATTACCATCACGAAAACTTCTCCCCTCCCCCACTGCAGAAGGCCAGCACAGTCCTCAGTTCCCTGCCAGTTTGATTAATGTGTCTTGGCTAATTGTGTGAAAGATGGCAGGCCTTTAGGAAGTGTGACCAGTTTATTGTTCAGCCAATCACAGGCGCCTCAGTTAGCATGTGAAAAGAGGGTGTGTTGAGGGGGGAGGGTGAGTGTTCTGGCGGCTGAGTCAAAAAAGGAGCATTTTTGGGGGTCACAGAGCAACACCCACTTCTTTGAGGGGATGTTACTATGCTCTACTAAACCTGTAAACCTCTTACTCAAAGCACTTTTTTTCTCCTCCCTCCTTTTTCAAGGAGATCTTTTTTTCCCATGGTGCAAGCAGGCAAGACACTGGCTACTCTGCAGATGGAGTTCACGTTCCAGGGTTTTTAATATTTCACTTTTATATTTCTGTTAGAGAATGATCCTGCTGAGAGTCTGAGAATCCGTGCCCGTCAGAATCCCCTCTCTGACACTTGGATATATTGCTCTGAAAGCTATCCCAGGAGAAAAGATTAAACAAAACAAAAAAAAAGCCTACTTTTCAAAGCCTACTTCTCAATCTGCCCACATCAAAATAAGACAACTGGCCCTTTGAAGTAGAGGACACAGAGTTCTCAACCGGCTTGCTTAAAATGGGGGGTGGGGGTGAGGAGAGAAGGAAGGAAGGAAGACAGGAAGGAAGGAAGGAGGGAAGGAAGGAAAGACTAGTCTTTAAAATTATATCTCTCTCTTACATTGCCCAGATTTAATCAGACACAAGAGGCTAGAAAACCTACAACCCTGCTTACTAGGGCTCCAAGCTCAGAGAAATCTGTTCAGCTGGGTCAGGTTTTATTTTAACCTGCACAAAGAGAAACTGTATTGTCCTCCTAGACATAGTCTAGGCAAGGCCTGGAAATAACAGAGTGGGCATAGATGGACACTGGATGATTCTCCCGAGCTCTGAGCTCTCTGGCTTCCTCAAAATTGTTGTACCAGCTGAATTCAAAGTTAGGGGGCTGTTACTACTACTTAGCATGAAAAGGAAAGGAATGGAAATTTAATCCGGAATGGTGTTAATAGTTCTGTTCAGTGACATTTGTTTTGGCTCCCATCCCCTCTTCTGTTCCCTTAATCATTGGAGTTCAAGGATGGGTGAGAAAGCAGCAGCAACAGCAGCTCAGGGACAGGGGTGGGGGGCTGGGGTGGCTCAAAGTGACTTCTTGACTCACATAAGGGGATGTTCCTGGAACACAGATGTGGGTGACCCTTTTAATACATAGTCCTTATGATTGAGTTATCAATGGTACTGACCCCATGCCCAAGATATGCTGTACTTAAAAGATTTGCAAAGATGGAGTTAGACATCTTGGCCGTGGTTCACTTCCTTTCATAAACTTAGCCCATAGCTATACACTGCTTAAGCTCATGGAAGCAAGGCTCACAAATGAGCACCCCACTAATAAGGAGAGCTGGTGATAGAGTGTGGATGAATAAATACAAACCCAAGCTCTTAAAAACCCAAGAATGGACCATATCCATCTGTGAAGAACCAGTCCATAATACAGTGCCTGGTGGATGGTAGGTGCTTAAAAATTTTTTACTCATTTGGATTAAATTGAATCCTTATTACAAAAACAATGCAAAGTATGAACCCTATTGATGTTGTACCTGGAGATTTCTCTTCATAAATAAAAAATTTCACATTACTTTGAAATGACAGCAAAATGAAAAATGCAACATATTTCTCACTGTTTTATTGGAACCCGGTTACCTTATTTAGTACAGAATATGGCAGGGAAGCATTTGGGCCAAGTTTCTATCATTACTGTTCTCATCAAGGCATTCTGTATTAAGAAACTGTTTATTTATTGCCTGAACCAACCTGAAATCCAAATGTTTGAAATCTGGGTGAACAGCATAATCTCACCATGGCAGTTTTGTATTAACATTATCCAAATTGTCTTCTACAATCCATCTATAACCTTGAGCTTCTGCTCGCATCCATGTTAGGAAGCCGAGGGGTCCCATTTTCACTTGGAGAGTGGGTAGGGAGAGGTATAGGCAAGGCAGGAAAAGACCAGAGCCAGGTTCTCCTAGAAACCATGACAACTGGAGATAGAACCTATTGCAGATTGGATCATGACCTCCACAAGAAGCCTTTTCTTTTTCTTCTCTATCTCAGACCAAAGGGAAAAGGCATTGTTCCAAGCCCTGTGGCCAGACAGCAGCATTTTCCGCAAGTGCTAAATTAGCAAAATAGAAAAGGTAAACTATTTGTAAATAACCCTAAAGCCACTTAGCAATGCATAGGGGCATTCACAAAACAGCTGAAATGATTTTGCAGTTAGTCTTTAGCTTGCTGTAAGTTTTCCATAATCCTATTTAGTTCAAGAAACTTGATCCCTATGTATAGCTATTTGAGAAAAAATATTAGATGCTGGAGAAGAGAAGAAAAAACAAAACAAAACCTCTAGCCTTCTATGACTTTTGTTTTCCTCTTTAATCACCTTTTTAATCTCTCTACAGTTTCTTGCTTTCATGAAACCCTTCCAGGATAATCTCATACCAAAGTTAGTAATGACAACAACTTGGGGAAAATCTAATTTTAGTAATGGGACAATGTAAAAATATAAAGACTAGAAAATGTGACTTGGGCCACGTTTATCTTATTCTTGTCCTTATCTGTATGTATCTACCTCCCCTTTAATCCTGCTAGCAGGAGTCCAGCCTCTATACATCCCTTCATCCTAGAGCTCACTGCTTGTCTCCTCCCTTCTGTCTTAATGTCCTTGATGTGACAACTGGGTAATCTGTCCCTTCAGCCATGGCCTTGGTACCATTTCTCAAAGATTCACCATGGGCAACACTTCCAACACTGCCAAATCTACCCTAGGAACCAATCTTGGAAGACCAAATATGTGACAGGAAATGACCAAGTATCAGGCCTAGAGGCAATCGAGAGTTATAATAAGAGAGTTATATAAGTTATATAAGTTATAATTGAGAGTTATATAAGAGTTATATAAGCTTACATGGCTTGTTGTAGGTCTAATGAGCCTCTACTTCCCTCTGTTGTATTAGCATATGAGTCAAAAATAGCCATGGGGCTCAAAAGTGAGACTATCTTTTGAGTTGTTTTTTCGAGATATTGTGTATTTGGAAATGGGCATGGAATCCACAGTAAGTCATTTCAAATTCTTATTCAGTTTGGTACTTGTGTTTTACAGGGTTGGGGAACTGATCTAACCTCAACTACTACTTCAGTGTCCTCCTTATAAAAGGACTACCGTATTTGCCAGCGTATAAGACGACTTTTTGGCCCTGAAAAATATGCCTCCAAGTGGGGGGTCGTCTTATATGCCAGGTACACTTCAGATAGACTGCCCATAGTGCTTGCCCC